ACTGAGTGGGACTGCTTCCAGCTACAATTGCTATGGAAGAAGGGGATGCATTGGAAGTAGAGGAGAATGTGCAAGTGATGTACTGAAGGGTCTAGAGTGAGCGCGCCGAAGGTACATGTAGCAGAGGAGAGAGAACTTTTCTGTATGAGAAATAGAAAAGCTGTTAAAAATAAGAATTGTCTGTAAAATAGTTATTTAATTGACATGAAGGTATTGTGGCAGGAGGGAAGAGATTAGGGAAAAGAGGCTATTAAAAAGCAAGATCTCTTGTTTAAGGTCTGGGATGAAAAGCAGCACTGTGAGTAGCAGGGAACAGAAGCCTGCAGCCAGAGGATGTATAAAGGCCAGAACCTCTTGTCACAAGAAGCCTGCAAGAATTGCAGCTGGCATGTTTCAGACTGCATTAGCACATATTTAGGCAGAAATTTAACCAATCCTCATTCCTCTCAGTGTTAATAATCAGTAAATATCTCTGTCTTGATCCTCTGGATATAATATTTTCCAGTTTTTCAAGAACTTGTATCAGTGTTTGTATCAGCAGGTGGTAACAACCCTGGGTTTGGCTACCCAGAACAGCTTGCAATTTTGTTTTTCAAGTTCAAAGATACTTTAACAGTAGCAGGATTTTCATTTGTGCCCTTATATAAAGGCAGGGCAAGTTTTCTTGAGAAGCTTCAAATGGCCATGGTAAGCTGTTAACTGCATGTGCAAAAATGCAGCAGAAGATATGGGTAAATCTGCATAAGAGTTATTGGAGGTTGCAGTTGTTTCTGTTGTGACTAATGACCTTGACACAAGGACATTGTCTGGGGGTCAGGCTGTGCCTTAATTGAATTCAACAAGGGATGGCTGTGAAAAATGCAATGTGAGTGCTGTGTTCCTAGTGCTGCCTAGGTCTGTGAATATAAAAAATAAATTTTTGGTTGTGTTGCTTTAAATGTTTATTCAAAACCTAGTTTTATTAGTAACTCAATCTCCTTTTTTTTTTCCTGAAGACTCTTCTTTTTGAAAACATTTTAGTTATGTTACCATAGTTATTAAAAGAAAAATAGCAAGAGATGAAAAGTGAAATGTTCATACACTGAGATTATGTACTCATAGCTTGCCATTCCCTTCATTCTGCTTGCAGATTTAGCAATGCACAGTGCTACACACATGAGATAATATCCTCAGCAAGAGAAGAGTATGAAGTTTGAAAACTGTTTCAATAGTTGCTTTTCATCTATTTATTTATTCCCATATGCTTGTGTGTGTTTTGGTGTTAGGAGATGAGGAGAACAGGGGAAGCGAGGGTAAACACTGCAGAATTTTCCAGAAATGATACAAGCCAAACATTCTGGTGTATTGATCAGAATGAGTAGAGTATGTTATAGGTTCCATGGTCCTTTCAACAGCTGACTGATACAGGATTTTAACAAGTTTAAAACTGACGTTCTCTCTCTTTCCTCCTCCTTTCTCTGTTTCAGATGAAAAGGAGAAATTTGAACCCACAGTCTTCAGGGATACAATTGTCCAAGGCCTCAATGAAGCTGGGAATGACTTGGAGGCTATAGCCAAGTTTCTGGATGCAGCAGGCTCACGACTTGATTATCGCCGCTATGCTGACACACTCTTTGATATTTTGGTAGCTGGCAGCATGTTAGGTAACCTGCAGAGTATCTGACACAGAATTTTGATGACCACACTTGCTTGCTTCTTTTAAGATGCTGTCTTCCTCTACAGTGGAAATTATAACCTGTATTACAATTCCACTGCTTGCATCTCATATCATAGCACTGTTTGTTGTTTGTCATGCAGTAACACCTCGATGCTTTCTAGCTACTGCTCTGGGAAGCCTTCAGTGAGCTAAACCAGTATATAACTGCAACAGCAAAGAGAATGAGAGAGATGCTAAGTAGGGGAAACAGAAGGCTTTATTAGTATAAAAAGATGCACTCCAGGTTAAGAGCTGCTGCAAATCTTGCTTTGTAGATGTTGCAACAAAAGGTAGTTCAGGGAAGTGAAGAATAATGAGGTGTGCTCTGTGGATGTTCATGGGACATTTCTGCCAGGTATCAGTGGCCTTTTCTGGCAAAAATATAGTTTTTGCTTTCTTCTTTATTTTGAGTAAGTTACCTCCTTTTACTGGTCATGCTACTTTGACTTCTGCTTCCTGTTCTCTGGTATATAAGAGGAAAAGATGTTTTTGTAGGACTTGAGGTAATGCAGGAAGCAACAGCTAGTGGAAATACCTAGGAAAAAAACTCTCAACAAAATAAGCCAGTGTTTTGGATGTTTATATGAGGCTGGTAAGCATTAGAGGGGTTAGCAGGATGTTCCAAGTACTCAGATTACTAGCACAGTGCTAATACTTTTCTCTTGGGGAAGGATTTACATTGTTATGGTGTTTAAAGTAAGAGTTAAAATAATGTGTAAGGGTTGTGCTCCAACCCATACTTATTTGATCACTCTCAGTACTCTCAAGACCAGCTGAGATTCCTTAGGGTGACCTGAATCACTCAGTCCTGTGAGGACTGTGTGACCTGTGATGCAGCATACCAGCCAGGTATTCCTTCTGTCAGGTGCCACCACCATTTTAGCAAAGTTTGGTCTGTCTCTGTTTCTCCCACTCCCCTGCTGTTACTGGGGCTTTTGCCTCAGTGATATTGGCGTAAGACTTACTAGACGTAATAAATTTTACATTCTTAAAATTTAGTAAGAAATAATTCCTTACCTTTTTTTTTCCTCTTTTCTTTATAGCTCCTGGAGGCACACGCATAGATGACAATGACAAGACCAAGATGACCAACCACTGTGTATTTTTTGCAGATGAAGATCATGATGCCATCCGAAATTATGCTCAGGTCAGTAAAAGCACACCTGATTAGTGTTTTCCATTTATGTGTCAAAAGGGATTATAGTGGAACATCTGCAGACTGTCTAGGCTGCACTAGACTAACTACAGACCAATTGAAAATCCAGTTAATCATTAATCTCCCCTAAAATACACATTTTAGGTAAGAAAATAGGATGTCTAAGATAATCAGATCACAGTTAGCAATGCTTTCTTTACAAAAATCAGTCTTGCTTCACAGTCTACCATTGATTAAGTCTATTTATTTAGACATCACCCTTATTAATTTTGTTGACCTTTTCTGTGTGCAGACTGAAATATTTATATAACCATATTTTGAGAAACACATGAGCTGTATCAGAAATTCAGCTTTTATAAGCAATGGTATTGCCAGCAGGACCAGGCAGTGTACATCTCCCTGTACTTGGCACTGGTGAGGCCACACCGCAAATTCTGTGTTCAGTTTTGAGGCCCTCACTACAAGAAAGACACTGAGTGTGTCCACAGAAGGACAATGGATCTGGAGAAGGTCTGGAGCACAAGCCCTGTGAAGAGCAGTTGAGTGAACTGGGGGTGTTTATCCTGGAGGAAAGGAGGCTCAGGGGAGACCTTATTGCTCTCTACAATTCCCTGAAAGGAGGTTGTAGCCAGGTGGGGGTTGGTCTCTTCTATGTAACAAGTGACAGGATGAGAGGAAATGGCCTCAAGTTGTGCCAGGTGAGGTGTAGATGGATATTAGGAAAAAAATATTCACTGAAAGAGTTGTCAAACATTGTAGTAGACTGCCTGTAGTCTACTGCATGCAGGTAGATGGTGGAGTCACCAGATTAAAGAGATCTGTAGATATGGTAGCCTAGGGCCGTGGTGTAGTGGCACTTGGCACTGCTGGGTTAACAGTCAGACTCTGTGGTCTTAAAGGTATTTTCCAGCCTAAACAATTCTATGAAGTACATGAAGGACAAAAAATATAAAGCTCACGCCTCCAACTTTTAGTTGCATAACTAGTTAGGAGTTAGGTATATATTCCAAGAGCTTTAATTTCTCCTACATATGTGATGTATAATTTCTTCCTGCAGAAATAAGGCTTACATAAGTAGGCCTATGTGAAATTAATACAAAAAACCAGTGAACACTAAACCCTTGAAAAGAAGCTAACTTTACATAACTCCTTAATGGAAGATAGTAATTATATGAAAAAGTACAGTAAGAATTCTGTGGAAAGTTCAAAACCACCGTGCAATTCTGGATACCAGTAGGATTGCATAAAAATGCAATACCTTTGCAACTCCCATATGTCAGAAGTCTATTGATAATAAAATATATATATTTATTTTTTTAAATAGCTGGGATATTGGAATGCTGGAGACAGAGATTAAGAGCATAAAAGCTGCTCTCCCTGCTAAGGTGTCTAGAGTGATAAGTTCCTGGAAAGGTGCATAGTTTGATTTAAAGTGTGCTGGGATCAAAATCTACATTGGTAAAAAATGCTTGCTTAATAGCAGAAAGCTTCTTTAAGAACCATTTTTAATAATCTAAATTAGTGAAATATACTTATTTTTGGAAAGGGAGTCAATATTTCTTATGCATCAGCTTTATCATCTCTTAAAAACAGGGTATTCTGCCTCAGGAAAATCTCAGTTATCGGTAAAGGCATTGATTCTGTCTTCTTGAATTTTAATAATTTAATGATCTTTTGTACAAAAATTGGCAGTGCCAGTCCTCTAAGGAGAAATTTAAAGTAAAAAATTGCATATTAAAAAATAGAAAGGAAAGATTTGCTTTAGGATTTGAAGGAGTGGAATTTTCAATGGATTTTCTGCACTTCAAACCAAAAGCCACCAAAATAAATAAACATTTTGTATTTAATGCCTGAAGAGATGTGTCCTTCTATTGACCTTGCCATTTTTTCATGCATAATGAAAAACAGAGCTCTTACTGTATTATGAAAATGTGAGTTAGTATAAATTAAAGGTGAAAAGTTTTCAAGTCAAAGGACTGAAGTTTGTATTGATATTTTAGCAGATTATTTGCATATGAAGTCATGCTTCTGTCATTTACAGAAACTTAAAAAATTATGCAGAATTTTGTTTGGAAATACTAACAAGAATCTTACATTTTCATCTTCTATCTTATTTTATTAAGATTCTGTGTGTCTCTACTTCTTAGCATGACCGCATTTGATTTTCTACTTTTTCTGAGCCAAAATACTACCAGTTAGGATGTCTGGATGTATTTTATATTCTGGAAAGTGAATTGAAGCTTTCTAAAGCTAATTTTCTGTCCTCCCCCATCCAGTGTGGCAATAATGTCATTTGCTCCCCACATAAACCTTTTTACCTGTGACAGTGAGTCATATGCTTTGTGCCTTTGTACAGCAGTGCAAGCAATGATTTGTTTATTTCATTTCTTATCTCTTCCTTCTCCACCTTGAATGAACTCTGCACCTGTGCTGCTTCTGGTTTCATAATCTGTGGTCGCATGATGGGAAACAAATGGTCAAAACTGGAGAACAAGTGGTTCCAATAACATAACTGTTGTAGGAGCTTTGGCAAATGTTCTTCCTCTTTCTCTGACAGTAGTGTGTTTTGTTGTAAACATTTATGTTAGTTGATTTGCCAAGATATTGCATCTATTGAAGATGTCCAGCATCCTGCCTGCCTCACTCCATCAGCCTACAGCTGAGAACTTCCCCAGGGCTGCATTACTGGGGGAAGGGTGCAGTTGCCCTCTTCCTCCACCCCTTCTTCCTTCCTTTTACCTATGGATAGGGCGAAAAGTAGAGAAGAAAAAAAAATTTGAGAAATGTGAAAGATTCAGTCTGCAGTAAATTCTCCGATTCAAGCTTTGCTCTATGAAGCAAGAATCATAAAATTGAGAGACGGGTGTTTTGTGCTCCCCATGTGGCAGACAACACTAGAGAAATATCATTCGGCAAGCTGCTTATTTCCCTTTACTTTTTTTTGTAAAGAAAGGTGGCTGTAATTGTTATACATTTTAAGTTAATCTGTGTTTATCCTCAGGTCTTCAATAAACTTATCAGGAGATACAAGTATCTGGAGAAAGCATTTGAAGATGAAATCAAAAAGGTAATGTTGATGGCAGTCTTTACTGGAATGCTAATATTTTTATCTAGATTTCTGGCATAATTGTATATGTATGAATGTGGTGCTTTTAGGTGTTTTATTTAGCTCTGCTGGAAAAGAGGATGGAATCTACAGGAGGCAGCTTTACTCTGCGAATTCAGCTCTGTGGGAATACTGACGGAAGCACTTGATATAGAGTATTTCTGAATTAATGATTCCTTTGGTTGCTCTGACCAAACTCACTTTCTTTTTCCAGACTTTTTTTTGTGCAGAAGTTTGATGCATTTAGGGATATACCTCTTAATGACAACTGTTACCGTTCTGCAAATAGAGCATCTTTTTTTTCCGAAAAATAAATGCAAATCTGCTATGCAGAATGTCTCTTGATGTATGAGTATTAAACCACTCCTGCACTGTGAAATGAATCCTAACCACAAGTTTTTTTGTATTTGAGGCCACAGATGTGTGTAAGGGAAAGGCCTCACCAGTGGCAAAGTGTTCAGGATTTGCCTGTTAAGATTGTTGTGGTTCTTTGTGGATACTGTTTCGTTTTGTGATACTGAATTCTAAGGAGACAGGAGAAGCCAGGGTAAAAACGTCTGAAAAACAACATACAGCTTTATTTTGTCTATTTTGAGTTCCTAGTAACAGATGTAAATATCTGTTTCTAACAGCCTGTGTAAGTAATTAACACTGTACTGTCCTGTGACTTACTGTCCTGTACTGTCCTGTACTGTACTGTACCTGTGTAACAGGTACACTGGTAGTAGCAAAACCGCTCCCATGACTAAAGTATCATGATGTTAAACATAAAAATGTGTTTCCATATTATTTAAACATTAGAAGGGTCGCTGGAAGGGTCAAATGAGGGCACATTTGGAGCTTGATACTTCACCAGCATTTCTTGTGCTTGAATTAATTTGGCTCTGATTTATACATTCTTGCTCATACAGGAAATTATTTTTACACTTGTGGCCAGCATGCCTATCAACTGATACTGATTACTCAGTGCATCATTCTAAAGACCTAAATTTACCTCTATCCCCACACAAATCTAATGTTCCTGCTGTTAATTACTGTAATCACTGACATGAGAAGCGCTGACTCACAGCATTCAAGTTTCAGAGAGTGCTCAGCATATTAAGCAAATGCCATGTCAATTCAAACCGCCTCCGCTCATTTCTGCAACTTGCTTGGCTTTGCATCCTCTTAAGCTTCCAAAAATTCACTTTGCACTCTTAGTGACAAGATGAGACTATGGTTAACACATAATAATTCAACTCTTAGTAAAGGAACAAGTGCCTCTGATGTGCAGTTGAGCCACATGCCAGCTTGAGAGAAAGCAGTCAGTTGAGGTGCCCTAGCCAATCAGATTAGGGCAAAGCTACTTTTTGAGAGCCATTGGAAACATCCTAGCCATGCCAGTGTGGGATCAGAGCAGGCTTTTGCAGACCACAAACTTTAGTTTTATGTACATGCCTTTTGGATAGTTTTCAGTGTCAGACTACATCTTGTATGACAGATCCTGAGATTAGGTTTGCACAGTGGTCCTAGGCTGTGGGGAAATCTTTCCATCTGCCCTTCCATCACCACACATGGTGCTGCTGTGAATCTTGGTGTGGCTTCTGGGGATGCAGGGTATACCCTCTTCCTCAGTTAATCCAGTTTTAGGAGACCTAGAAACCAGAAAGGTGGTTGTGAGGGTGTTTGTGCCTGTGTACTTCACCTCCACTGCCATTGCCCTTAAAACCCTTGAGGACTATTTGTAGGTGCTGTTTGCTTGCATTCTCCCTCCCCCTGCTTGTGTGAACCTACATAAAAGTTTTGGCTGTTTTCTCATTTATGAGACTTCAGGGTTTTTAATCACTTAATCTTTTAATCCCTGCATCCTGTAATTTGTACAGGAGTAGCAACCCATGGAGGGCCTAGAAGATAGATACATTTGTATTTCCAAGAAGGTGTTTCTGCTAGGCCAAAGACTGCCACAGTTAGTCAGTGGTTAGATAGGTAAAAGAGTGACTCATTGATGTTTTTTTGTGGGTCATTGTCCCAGCAATGGAAGTGATGTTTCTGGCAGACTCATGAGGCAGATAGAGCGCTTGGAGGAAAATTAGCTCTTCTTGTAGAAAAAAGCATGCCAAAAAAACCGACGCAATACCAGCAGTTTCACCCTAAAGAAGCAGATGGTGTCAATGGGACTTTTCTTTCAAGAGAGATTATCTTAGATAGCAGTATTTGCTTTATGTCATCTAGATCACAACTTTGTCATTAGGACATTATTTTCTATCATCTTTCTCCTTTTTCTCTGCTTCTAGCTTTCAGTTGTTTTATTTCTTAACTCTTTCCTCAAAATTGCCAGATTCTCATTTTTCTAATGGCATAAGCAAACCATGTATCTTAAGTTTTGCATCTTAATTGTTTTATGCAAGCAGTTTCAACAGAAGACAAAGATGTTTAGTTGCATTGCTCACTCATATTTTGATGTAGGCAGCTTAAGTTCACATGAGCATGGCCCAGTGTACTGGCATAGGCCCATGACATTTTGCAATAATTTCACTAAAATTCTAAGTTCCAAGCTTGTGTTCATTTTTGTCTACATATGTATTTCTGTGGATGAAGAATGCAGTTGTTGTCTGTCTATTTATTATATTTGCATGTTTAGGTAATTTTCTATATAAACTTTTTAGTATCAAAATGGGGATAAAGTACAGATAATTTTATTTTTTGTCTTAACAGTTGTAAATATTTCTTAGTCATGAGAGGACATCTGAAGTGCTGGGAGATGTTGTGACATCTGCTATTTGTGTTCCTATTTTCCAAATGAAAGAACCATAAATTAAGCTAGGAATTAGGAAATAACAGGAGAATAACATTCTGAGATTGAATAGGGAGTAAGCAGAAATGCTTTAAGTCAGCTAAATGAAAGGCAAAACTCAGCAGGTATCTGTTGCTATATTAGCTGCCTTCTCCATTGCTGACAATTCAGTGCTGTCTGCAGATGTGATAAACTGTCAGCAACAGACCAGTTCAGATAATGAAGACATAAAAACTCACCCACCACACTCCCTGTGTGGGTTACAGTTCCTTAATTTTCACCATTTAAGATTTCCAGATCACAAGAAGTGATCTGAAGCACTTGTTTTTCTTGTGTTCCTTTTAATATTGCATGCCTGTGTTTACTTGTACGCATCTTCTATGCTTAGAAATTGTGCTTAAAAACCTTCTTCCTTAGTAACAAAAACAACATAGAAACATCACATTAGGTCTGGTCTTGTGCTTATTAGGTGTTCTAAGTCCCTGCTTAAATAATTCGGAGTTCTTACAGATATTATAGAAATACAAAATTGTGAGCCAGAGATGCCCTTTTTATGCCTGGAATCAGTTTGTACCTAGTGAAAGCAGTAATGCCTGTGCTTGGCTGACAGCAGGGAAACATCAGCTTGGAGAATGTTCTGTGGGTGATTGGGAACTATTCTGAAGTGCCTTGGATGTTTTGTGACTTCCCTGCTGAGGTTTGTAATTGTGATGGTAAAAGAATGCTTAAATTAATCAGCAATAGAAATCTGAAGTAACAATTTTGAACTGAAATTTAGGTTTGTTTCATAGTTTTTAAAAAGGGTTTATGAAAGGTTTTGAGCTTTCCTATCACCTGGTTTCCCCCTAAACTATGTTACACAATTGCTGGAAAGTATAGAATAGTATCCTTAAATGGCAGAAAAGGACAAGTCTAGGTTTGAGCTTCTTCTGAAAAATATTAGTAAAACAAAAATTAATAGCACCAACAGTACTTTAAGTCATGAGGGATGCATAGAAGATGGGGTTTTTTTTTAAAACATACTGCAGTGGGGTGCAGTTCAAGAACACCAGAAACCACATTAATGGTGAGAGACTTGGAAGGAGCATGTTTCAGAGGAAGGGGAATAAGATGAGCCTGCAAACTTCATAGACATGTGGTTTCAGTTCCTGGCTCAAATTTGACATGAATGGGTCGACAACATGAATGGTCAAAATAACTGTTCATGATCTACGCATTACTGATAAAAGGATGAAGCTCAGAAGTATATCAGAATCTAGTCTGTTACATTAAAGTTGTCAGTGTGACCACTTTCTAATCAAAATATTCACCTATTGCTTGCATAGAAGCAAAAGAAAAAAGATTGAAGTGGGGTACGCAGAAATCTGAAGCTGTTTCCTCTTTATTAACAGTCTCAGTACTTCCAGTAAAGATGTGTAATTCTGATCTTTTTTTCTTGTGCAGATCTCATTTTAGTACAGTATTATTGATAAAGCTTATATAAAGAAAGCTTCAAATCCACAGGCTTCCAGTTTACAATAGGGTTATACTGAAGTTTTGTTAAAATGTTCTTTTTCCATTAAATGTGGCCCTGAAGTTCCTTTGCCTACACTATTATACACACCAGTTAGCTGATACATTTGGAAATACAGCACACCATTTTTTTTCTCATTCATATATTTAGAAACAATAACTCCATTCTTCTACATCCTGAATTTTCATGCATTTTGTGGTTGAGTCACAGTTTGCTGAAATAAAATTACACCTTGAGATTTGGTAGTTTCATAATTGTTCTTTTAAGCTAAAAGTGTATGTTGCAGTCATTTGGCTGAAGCCCACTGAAAAAAATTCTGAGTGATTTGTCTGTGGCTGAGTCATTCA